TACTAGGAGCAAAGGGCATCGCTACTAGGAGCAAGGACGCTACTAGGTTGGAGGCCGTGATGTTTGTTGCGAGGGGAGATCCAGAGATCATCCAACAGCCAGACATTGTGTGAGGAAACTCGAGCCTTTTGTGGGACATGCTGGGACTCAACAATTGGAAGGTTTTCAAGTGCCGTGCTATGGGCCTAGCTTTGTTTGATGAGGCTATGTCGGCGAGGTGTGGTTGTACGTTGCTCAGTCTGTTCTGTCCTGTGGCACGGTTTTGTGTGTCTATGTGTCTTGATTTCCAGTCTGCAACTGAAGTCTTTCTGTAGACCTTCAGCGTCCTTGTGTTTGTCAGTGCGCTTTGCCATCGTGCTTCGTGCGCCATCCTTTGGACCTTCTCCGGATCTGTCGGCCAGAACAGCAGATTGTTGGGATGGCTGACGGCCCAAGGCATTCGAGCTTAATAACGACCGCATCGCCACGAACGTAACAAAGGGCATCGCCACGAACGGAGCGATCGGACGCTACGAACGGAGGGCTCCTGGCCTTACTACTAGTAACAAGAAGCTATTAGGTTGGAGGCCATCGCCATGGCTGGCATGTAACTACTGTATGTCTCGCCCCATCAGCTGCCAATGGCTGTGTTTAGCCGCTGTGTCGGCTTTGTCTGTGATTGGCTGATCTGCGTCCCCAGTGAGCTTTGGGTAGCTTGAGGGATCATCAAACCCAATACTTGTCCTTCCCATAGCAAAATGCAAGAGCTTCAACTGATTGTTTTGCGGTGCAAGACTTGGTGACTTGCATGCTGTTTTCCGATGAAGCTGAGATCGCCTGAGCATGCTGTGATGTGAATTTGCTTGTTTACACCTAGCTTGGAGGGGTTCACGGTCACAGCAGTTACTGATGTATGTTGAAGCTCAAAAGAAGTCAGTGCTATTTGGGGTCCATGCTCGAGTAGTGCGAAATCGTACTTGGCTGGTTTCAAGGTGTTCAAAGTGTTTTTTTTGATTGTCATGTTGATCCTGCACAAGGCAGTGACATGCTAAAGCATGCTTCGACTGTGACTTGCGACCAGGATTTTAACCGGATGGACGACAAGGAGCTGCCTGGAAAGACATTTCGACAACGTGACGACAAGTTCAAACATATGCTCCATGGCCTCCAACCTCATAGCGATAGACTCCAACCCTACTTGCGATGGCCTCCAACAGATTTCAACTGTCTGCATTGCCAGGACTCGGAACAACGAACTGCCGTCCACATTTGCATCTTGAAAAAGATGCCTGAGGAGTTTCTCTCGTGTGACACGTTGAACACGCTGTGATTTTGTTAGCAATAACTCCCCAAGTGGTTCGGATTTCCAGAACAGTTGTCAACTTTCATTTTGTTCATGCAGAGATTGTCTTGCTTGAAAAGACTGAAGATGCGATGAAAACAAGCAAGACTTGATCAAGACACCTGAAGCCAGGGAAGCCAGACCGCTCACTTGCTCTAGACATCTCACGTCTGCCCGACTGGCTATCTCGCTTTTCTTGTTTATATTCTGGTTGACCGTAGATTCTACCAAGAAGAGCCTGATTCTGGATGGACAGAGTCTGATTCCAAAAGCCACAAAAATGGATGAACACTGAACCGCGAGAGCGCTCTAAATCTGCTCACGGCAGGTAAGGGTAGAACGGCTGATGTCTGGCCTTGCATGATTCTTGAAAACAGGCATGTTTGGCAAATAGAGAGAAAGAGAAGAAAAACAGAAACCTAGCCTCCAACCTAATAGCAATGGCCTCCAACTCAAGAGCGATGGCCTCCAACCTAATATCAAGGGTTCGAAAACAGGCATGTTTGGACCTGCATGTTTGACACGTGAGCCGACTTGGGGGGTCAAAGTTTGGGTCATTGCACGCTTGGAGATCACGGAGAGTCTTAGACGACTCGGACAACTCAGTGAAGAGGTCGACTTTGGACTAAAGGTTGGCCATAGGGGTGTAAGATCCATTTTTTCCCTCTTGGATTTGGATGCCTCTCTTACTCTTCCACCTATTCTCAACCTCTTCCTCAGCTATGCCCACGATCCCCCTTCCTCAGCTACGCCCAACAGTACCCCTTGACGGTGTAACCCCCCCAACAAGGAGAGAGGGGTGACATCCAAGACCTAGTTTGCGAGCATAGGAACTGTTGACTTTTCTTGCACAACTGCAGAAGCCGTTTCTCCTTCTTTGCTTTATCTCTTTATCATTTTGTTTTCACCTTTATTTTACGTTCTTTCTTTATAAAGTAGTTTTCGCAGCTGTCGCAGCTGTTTGCGCCAGGATATTTGCCTCAGCATTCTGAACAGAGATGACTTCACAGAGGTCAATGCCATTGATCAGGTGACGAAGATGAGAACGATTTAGATTGCTCAGATCACTCCAGGACAACGAAAAGAAAAAGGAGAAAAGGAGAAAGAAAGGTCTTAAAGGTTTTCAAGGAGAAAACGACACAATTTAGCCATGTGACTGGCAAATAGCGCTCAGTTTGGCTACACCATCCTCTCCCTGGCTGCCTCCAACAGCATGGTGGGCGTGTGCAAAGCAATCCTTGACCATCCGGAGTTCACCCAGGTGAATTCCAAGGACTGGACTCATCTGGACTGGTTCTTCAAGATAGTCAACGCAGCTCTTAGGTTAGAGGCCATTGCTCTTAGGTTGGAGGCTCAGTTGAAAATACAGCGACCAAGCTGATGGGCGACTCAAGCAGCATTGTGCTTGATGGGACGCCAGGACAAGTGGGGTGCCACTGCCTTGCATTGGGCGGCAGCATCGAATCTGGGCAAGCCTCTGAAAGTGAAGATTGAACTTGGTTCGCTTTTCATGTAAACAGAGCATCACAAGAAGCTACGAACGGGGCTCCTGGCCTTACGAACGGAGCGATCGGACGCGAACCGAACGGGGGCGGTTGATTGGGAGCGAACGTCCTAGGCTCAGTTTGCACTGGCATCCTGGAGCATCCTGCATTTGTGGAGGCATGGAGTTGCAACGGAAATGTGCAGCCAGAAGATCCACAAGTTGGATCCGACACAAGTGCATCTCAAGATAGACGTTGTGTTTACTTTGAACGGGTTGCCTGCTTGACATGTCCATAACACGGTTGTTCTAATTAGTTAACAGTTAGGTTGGAGGCCATCGCTCCGTTTGGTAACCGTTCTAGCGGACTCTTCTCGGTCGTAGGTTGATGCCGCATTTCCAAATTCGAGGCCCACGTCGTCGCTTTCAGCTTCAAGTTCGAGAATCAAACGGCTCTACAAGTTGCAGAGGTTGGACATCGTTCCGCCTCGATCAAGTGCAGTTTGTCAATCACGTTCGTTTAGTTTTTGGCTGTGACAAACACCAAGTTTGCAGTGCATTTCTCAAAATTCGTTTGGAGGAGAGAGGCTGTGCAGATGCAGAGCAGGTGCACGTGAAGCTTCCGAAGCACACACGTCTTCGTAGACGAGAATGCCGGGACTTGTTTTCTTACTTAGTAGGTTATAGCAGCCTAGCATAGGCACTGCAAGTTTCTGTTCCTGAATCGCAAGTTTCCATGATTCTTCGTCCGCAGTCTCTGGAGTACGGAGAGAGAGTCTGCGAGTCGTCTGCGACTGGACAGGCAATCAAGAAGGCCCTGAGTGTGTGAGCCATTGAACATCCGTGTCTTAATACTGAACGCTGGCACGTCCTTGTTCAGGTGAGAGTCATTACCTTCCGATTTGTTTTGACACGTTGGCACGTCGTGCGGATGTTTGAGAGTGTGGACGGCTGAAAGCAGCCAGAGCTCGGTAAAAAGATCGGTGACTGGCCTTCAAGCCTGACAGTGAGGAAAGCCCGCAATTGTTGCCGTTCGTTCAGTTGCTTAGTCTATGCTAGTGTAGGTTTGATGTCAAGATAAAATATGTAAGGAGCAAGGACGCTACTAGGGGCTCCTGGCATCGCTACTAGGAGCAAGGACGCTACTAGACTGTCCGAGCTATAGCTCGGGCTTAGAATAAGTTATCTAGAAGAAGAGTAGGGTTCTTGAGTGGCCCACAGACAGAAGATGCTGCGCTACATTTGACGTGGACATCACCGCATGTAGCTTGAAATGGAAACTATGGACGAAGCAGTCTCAGATAAATAGCCCTTGGCGCTGCCTCCTTACTTAATTAAGTCGGCGCCTACTTAATTAAGGGCCAAGTAAGCTACTAGCTACTGGACGCAGGATAGCGCTCGCACTATTCATCATTTAGTTCCTAGATTTAGTAGTTAGCTGATCAATGAAAGTTTCACTGCACAGTTCCGAGTTGCACAATGTTGCTAATGTTGCTAACAGCTAGTGCGCATGGATGAATGGAAAACGTGTGAAGGTCAAAAGAAAGTCCAAAAGCGAAACAAAGAAAACAACATCAAAGCAATAATAAGCAAGAAAAGAACAAGCAGAAATAGGAGATAAGTAAAGCAGCAACTACTTATTATGTTTCGCACTTTTGAATTTTCACACCGGCCTTGCCACATGGATAAAGTGTTCTCGTTGCTCGTTCCGTGTGTCGCTTTTTCTTGCCGAGGTGCTAACAACTGCAGATTTGCAGCGTGCCGCCAAGCGCCTCAATGTCGAGCTGCGGGAGAACGTCGCAGGGCCTTGGTGCCGCCAGTGATGTTAGCTGCGAAGAGGTTTGTTAACAAAGACCGCGTTACTAGGGGCTCCTGGCCGTACTACTAGGAGCAAGGACGCTACTAGGGGCTCCTGGCCTCGCTACTAGGAGCAAAAGGCGCTACTTGTAGACCTTTCTTCCTTTTCTTTTTTCTTTGTTTCTGAGAGCGATGGCCTCCAAGGCCTCCAACCTAATGGCGATGGCCTCCAACCTACTAGCGATGGGCTCGAATCTAATAAGCTGCGAAGAGGTTTACTTTGTGACAAGCAGGTGGTTCAATTACAGTGCATTGATTTAATTCCTTGGCTTGCTTGGCTTTTTCTGGTGTTCCCAAGCCTTGCCTTTTCTTGCTTCCGGTCAGCCTCTTCCAACAATTCCCTTGACTTACGTAAGTTTCAAGACGCTTGCTTGCAAAGCCCTTGGCAAGAAAGCTTCTCGTAAACGGCAGTGCTTTGAAGTACAACCAAAGCGCACCATGGCGCACCATGAAAAATCAGTGAACACATGTGAAGGGAGACATATCCGGGCACTTTCTTTTGCAAATTGATATTGACTGTAATTAAGACATTAAGATGACCAGCTCGAACTGATGTTCCAGACGACACTTACGTGAGAGGTATCAGATTGAACTCTATAGTGGAGATCGGCAGCTGGGCAAAACCAGCGGCTGGGCTCAGCCATGGGTGTCTTGGACAAGCGAGTGGCATGTTGAAATCCGTGATGTTGCTTCATCTAATGAAACCAGGTCAACATACATGAAACAGTAACTGAAACACTTGGATTCTCAAATACCCAACATGATTTGGTGTGGACTATTGTGCATCGCGTTTCTGTCCAGTGAGGGCTTGCAGGGGGGCCTTGTTTGGAGTGTTTTTTGGAATAAATGGTCTCATGTGCTCCATGCAAAGAAAGGCAACAACGTCCGTTGTGCATTTCAGCCGATGTACGTGTTACGGAAATGGTCATTCAGTCCCCTTTCGATGTTGAAGTAGACAGCACAAAGGACTCAAACTAGACTGCTGATAGGGAGTGAGATGGAGTTCCGAGTTAGGTATGGTTTCGGTTTTTGTTTTTGCTTCGCTTGTTCGACCATTCGCTTGTTCGTTTTTGCCGAACGAACGAGCTGTTCGACCAGGGCAGTTTGCACTTGGAGACCATCGAGGCACGGTTCGGGGAAGTCGACCATCGCAGCGGTTTGACCGAACACCGAAGTTTCATCGCACATGGATTTTTAGACTACAAGAAGAGACTGAGATAGCTTCCTAGTAGGATCTAGTAGGTTGGAGGCCAATTGCTATTAGGCTCTCTCTTTCTTATCCTTTTTCCTCATGTATTCTCTTCTTTTTTCTCCACCTGTGAGGTGAGGGTCTCTGGATTTTACGTCAGCGGTACAACACTGCATTTTCCTCGTTTGTGCTTCCCATACCTCGACGCTTCACATTGCCGACCTCGACCTTACACCCGCCTGCAGACCAGGAGCTACTAGTAGCGTCGGATCGCTCCGTTCGTAGCGATGCCCTTTGATTCCTAGTAGCAAGAATGCTCCTAGAAGTATGGCCAGGAGCCCCTAGTAGCTTTCTTAAAAGCCCATGTCCCAACACAACGCACTTCAGAACATTTGCCAGACTTGATGTTTCAATATATTGCCAGGACAGATGTATGACAGATGTCAGAACAAATACCAGAACACATGTCAGGCAGTATGCTGGGTCGTTTGTCAGGCCAGTCTGTCAAGAGTACCTTTGTTGGAAACCACTCGAAGGGAGTATGTCATATTTTTCTGACATTAAGCCGTGTCAAAACTAAAACGTGTTTAGTTTTTTTTTCAAGAACACAAGTAAACCTATCCCGCTTGCGAAAGCCGCGCTTGCGCAGCCTGCGACATTGAGGGCACCTTTATTGTTAGCCCAGCAATTGCTCATGTATTGCTACATAAGGGTTTCTTTTTCGCTTTCACACTCACTAGCGGCTAGCGCACAGAGCAGTCAAGCGCAGCGCCTACGGACGATGCAGTCTGGAATTAGACAGCCGTATCGTGATCGAAGTCCGGTCTAAAGATGGCTGCGTTGTTCTCTTCAGCAGCAACAAGATCTTGCATCCAATCTGCAACTGTGGAGAAATCCCGCACCGGACATTGTGGCTGCCTTCTCAACCACCATTCAAACAGCATTGCAATGTATGTACAACTCGGAGCGGGGCACCCTTTAAGTTTTGCTGTCTTCCAGCCATCTTGCCCGAAGCCAATATGCTAGCCTCTTTGGACAGCGCAGTATGTTCCTAGTAGTAAGGCCAGGAGCCCCTAGTAGCTTCTTGCTCCTAGTGGCGATGCCAGGAGCCCTAGTAGCGTCAATCCTTGTGAAGGAATGATTGGCTTCATACTCGTGGCAGCCAATAAGTGTCCTTGCAAAGATAATATTGCCAGCGGCGCAATGAAGAAACTCTTTCTGAGTAAGATCAGGCAACCCACGTAGAGCACAAAGTCCGGGGAGGGGTTTGGGAGGCTACTAGTAACAAGGGCATCGCTACTAGGAGCAAAGACGCTACTAGTAGCTCCTGGCATCGCTACTAGGAACAAGAAGCTACTAGGAGCAAGGGCATCTCTACTAGAAACAAATGGCATTACTACTAGTAGCATTCTTGCTACTAGGAACAAGAATCTCCAGCACAGTGACTTCACGAGCCACAGTCCACGTCTGGGGAGGTGAATCCGGCTCCTTCAGAAAGACGTAACCACTTCTGGTGTGCGTTTGGCATCAACTTGCACTGAGATCACACCGAAACAGCTGTAAGGGTTGAACCATCTGCGACAACAGCCTTTGTAAGGCGTGTTGGAGGTCACCACTGTGTCATCTCTCGCACGAAGATGCAGGAAAACACGTTTGGATAAAGAGTCTCAAAATGATACTGCTTTGCGTGTGACTTGCACTGTTTGACATACGGGTTTGGTCTAAATCAATAAATTTTGGTGCATTGTTCCTTTAATTGATGAACCTGGTGGGTGAGCCGTTAGGCCGTTAGTCATTATATCGCGTTTGGTCATGACAGTTAACTTGGGCACCTTGATAAGCTGACGACCGATATTTAGTACGGCACCTTGCTACTAGTAGTAAATGCCCTTGTTACCCCTTGCTCCTAGTAGCTTCTTGTTCCTAGTAGCGATGCCAGGAGCTACTAGTAGCGTCCTTGCTCCTAGTAACGATGCCCTTGCTACTGCCTCCAAACCTAGGAGCTTCCTGCTAACTAGCAGCTTCTTGTTGCTGGCCAGGTCCGAAAGTTCACGGGCTATTGGGTGGCGAAACCGGGGAAGGAATCCGAGGCATCGGAAGATGCCGAACGAAAGCGCTATGCCGATGTGGCAAAGGCGGGGGCGGGCGGGTAAACACGACTTGCTGCATAGGAGGGCCAAGGGCTGCTTGCTGCAGAGCCGAGGCTAATGTAGGGATGACTTCCGAAGGACCCTAAGGATATGAGGTGATCCATGACCTCCAACCTAATAGCGATGGCCTCCAACCTAGAAGCTTCTTGCTCCTAGTAGTACGGCCAGGAGCCCCTAGTAGCGAACCTTGTTCCTCATAGCGATGGCCTCCAACCTAATGGCTTGAAAGAAACAAGGAGTCGGGTCGAACAATCGAAGAATTTGTGAGCTCCGAGGTGGCACGGTGGTTTGGTTTACTGCTATCATGCGCCATAGCATGTGGTTGCCTCAGTTCAGATTGGAAACACTGCAGAAGCTGATTCACAAACTTTGACTTTTACAGTAATTACATTTACTGTAGCTGCTGCATGCTGACAGAACCGAAAGCAAAGATTGATCTCGGGTGCAGCGGGTTTTATAAGGTAGCTAGTAGGTTGGAGGCCATCACTGGTATGTACATCATGCAAACTAACCTTACATACTATGATTGCTATGCTCTCAGACTGTGATCAGAGTGCAGACGATGGGATTGACAAACTACATGTTAACGCATGCATGACACACTACGTACATAATCCAAGTCACCAAAACACGACAATGAGGAAAACGATCGATAAGGTTAAAATGTACAATCTATGTTTATTTCAATTTTCTTTGGGTTTTTCATTGACGAACGAAGACCTCTTCTTTTTGATGTTTTGCGCCTGAAAGAATGAAGCTCGAAGTTGGAACGATCGGGAAGCGGTGAGGCGATGCACCAGACCAATGACGGTCCATGATTGAAAGATGAAGCTAATAGTAACAAGTGCATCGCTAGTAGTAACAGGTGCCACGCTAGTAGTAACAGGTGCCTTACTAGTAGTAACAAGAAGCTACTAGGGACAAGACTTCTACTAGCAAGAAGCTACTAGGGGCTCCTGGCCTTACTACTAGGAGCAAGGACGCTACTAGGGACTAAGAAAAATGTGCTTTCAGAAACATTGTTCTTTTTCTTTTGGCCTTCACGCCTTTTCCTTTTTCCTTCTTTTCTGTTACTTTTTTGCCGATTTCGGGGTCCCTGAATTGCATCGATCTTCACGTATCCTGTATCCGACGTATCCCAAGGCAGTGCCTAAATCCGCCGAATCAGATCCATCATGCTGGGAAAGATTCCCATACTTACAATACGGAGACATGTTAATGGAGACATGAGGATCCAAGCTGAAAAAGCCTAGCAAGTCTGCAAAAGTCTCAATCTCATGACTCCCAGTCAGCTTAGACCATCGCACAGGGGATTCCACAATATTCCACATGTTGAGGAGGCCATCGCTAGTTGTGCAACACACATCGACTGGTGGAGCATCCATCACTTCTACTTCAACATCACGCCACCCTGGTCATCCTAAGTAGTAACAAGAAACTATTATTAGCAAGGACGCTATTTGGTGGAGGCCATCGCAAGTAGGTTGGAGGCCATTGCTACTAGGAACAAGAAGCTAGTAGGGGCTCCTGGCATCGCTACTAGGAGCAAGAAGCTACTAGGGGCTCCTGGCCGTACTATTAGGAACAAGAAGCTAGTAGGGGCTCCTGGCATCGCTACTAGGAGCAAGAAGCTACTAGGGGCTCCTGGCCGTACTACTAGGAACAAGAAGCTAGTAGGGGCTCGGTCGGAAGAGCGAGAATCACAGCACTCGGAAGAGCGGTCAAACACTCGGACTTGACCAGACTCTGCTTGAGTTGCCCTGTTCGCTACTAAGAACAAGTGCATCGCTTCTAGTAACAAGTGCCTTACTAGTAGTAACAAGGTTCGCTACTAGGGAAAAAACAAAACACTCTTTGCTGTTTTTGATACATCTGAGACCTGGAAGCTACTTCTACTGACAAAAAGGCACATTTCCTGGAAAAAGTAAAACTCAGTCAATGCTCCGCATTGGTGCCGAGACAGAGAAAAGGCAGGAACGAGTTCGCTTCAAAACCTCTTCGGTTTCCTTTCTTCCTTATTCTTCCTTCCTCTACGAAAGTGATTTTCAGAAACAATTACTTTTGCAATTGAAGTGGATACTTGGGCAAACAATGCCATCAAGTGACTTTTATTTGAGAAGATAATCAATCCTTGCATACTTTCCAGTCTGTTGTTTCATTGCAGTTACAGGCTTCCCTTGGGGTTTTGGGTTGATGTCCCGGCACAACGTGGGTTTGAACCTCCAATTTTGGAAGACCCAGCGGCTGGTTCGCCGAGGTTGGAACCGGGAGCGATCCCCATTTTTCTGCAAGGAGGCAGAGCAGCAAGAGCGGAGCAAAACAAATCGCGTTTTCCGTTTTTTGCGACTTCCATATTGAGACCAGGCGTATCTTCTGGCCATCAAAGATGAAGAGAAGCAGCACGACCGTCTTGTCCGGTATTACAAAGGCGAGTCGGGACTGGGACCTGTGCTGATGTCACGAAAGACGCCAGTGAGGCTTGGGCTTCAAGGTCATCAAGGACCCAGAGACATTGGAGTATCAGGATCAGGCGCTATTAGGGGGGAGGCCATCGGTAGTAGGTTGAGATTTTCGCCGTGGTACTGTGAGAGAGAATGTGGCTGTTTACTGTGGAACATTGGCTTTAGCTTGCGCAGGTGCTCAGACCCAAATCTCAAAGCAGAATTGGGTAGGATTGAACCAATGCAAGCAGACGACTCAAATCTGACCTACTTAAGATGATCAAGTTTCAACTGCAGACAGCGTATCTTTGAGCTATGGCAAAAGCTCGTTCTCGGCTTAAGGCAAATCTCAGGAAAATGGTTTCTTCAGTTTTGGGGAACATGACATGTGCCGAAGCGTTCAACAGTTGCAAAGCTTAATGGTGTTTTTTTGTATTTCTTCTTTGGGCCTTCTTTAAAGTTGTTTTTGAAGCTTTTAGGTTGGAGGCCATGGCTACTAGGTTGGAGAGTTGGAGCCCATCGCTTCTAGGTTGGAGGCCATTGCTATTAGGTTGGAGGCGATCGCTTCTGGGTTGGAGGCCATTCCTATTGTTAGAGATAAAGAAAAGAAAGGTCTAATATAATATACTGTAGTTTTTCTAATGAGTTCTTTTTCGTTGTGTCTTCCCAGGCGGCCTTGACTTGCTGCTTGCTGGCGCCAGCCTGGCTGGGCCCGACTTGCCACTGGAAGTGAAGTCGGGCCGTTTCTTTCTCGCTATTTGCTCCGTTCGTAGCGAGGCCAGGAACCCCTAGTAGCGTCCTTGCTCCTAGTAGTGCTGCTGTTCTAGTTACAAAAATGTTTTTCTCATGTTTCGATTCTCCTTGTCCCTCCTTTCTTTCAGACCTTTCCTACTTCCCTTCCTTTCCTCTGTCGTTGTTGCGTTCTTTTTTTTGCGCGCGTGGTCCCATCTATCCTACCCAGTGCTGCGTTTAGGGGTGCGGGCTGGTGGTGCACCTCGGAGCAGACAAGGAAAGCGAAAGCTGATCAAGGAAGATTTCCGATGCACTTGTTACTAGAAGCGATGCACTTGTTCCTAATAGCTTCTGCATGCTTTTCCATCTTTGCTACTAGCAGCCTAGCAGTTTATGTTTAACTCGATGTCAGCCGTATGAGAACCCAGGCCCGAAATTTTCTCGGAGAGCTATCGGAGCGACTTGGAAGATACCGGGTGTACCGGAGTAGGAACAAGGACGCTACTAGGAGCAAAGGGCATCGCTACTAGGAACAAGGACGCTACTAGGGCTCCTGGCCTTACTACTAGGAGCAAGAAGCTACTAGGAGCAAAGGGTATCGCTACTTGTCTAGAGCCAATGTGCCACATCTCGTTGATTGTACTTGTGATACTGCCTGAGATCATTATCCCTCTGACAATTCTGGGACCAACAGAGTCAGGCGAGCTTTGGTCAGATCCTTTCATTCCTGCAAACGGTGGTTGTTTTTTTTCATTCTTCCTCTTGGGAACCCAATACCGATGGCCTCCAACCTAGTAGCTTCTTGCTATATACTAGTAGCATCCTTTGCTCCTAGTAGCAATGCCAGGAGCAGCATCCTTTGCTCCTAGTAGCAATGCTAGGAGCTACTAGTAGTGATGTTTCTCCTTTCTTGTTTTTATGCCTCGATGGTGCCACTCTTTCTCAGCACTGCACGAAGGCGCTGATGTCCACGTGGTGCGACCACAGAATGCTCAAACCCAAGCGAGACGCAGCGAACAACTACATGAAAACGTAAAATAGCTTCTTTTGTCTAAAGGTACCAAAACGAACAGCAATCAACAAAGCAGAATAAAAGGAAACAGGTCGAAAGGTGAAAAGAAATAGACACAAAGAAACATATACATGCGAAGCAATGCTTGAGCTTGCCCATTCGCCATGTGGGCCTGTTCTGTGCCGCCTTAGGTCACGGATGGTGCGTTCTATTCCTTTGATGTTCCCGATTCCTTCAAGGCAACGGTTTTCCAGTCACTTCACCCTAAAAGCGTGTTTTCGCTAGTAGGTGGCAGGCCATTGCTATTAAAGGGTTGGAGGCCATCGCAATCAATGCATGTTGCTTTTTATTGTTGCAGGCCGTGAACCGGGCCAAGTACCAGAGAGATCGACAGACTGGGCCTCAGCAGAAATTCAACCCTCTACTTGGCAATACTTGTAAGCTCTTAATTAAGGGACAAACTTGTAAGCTACTAGGAATAGGAAGCTCCTAGCTAGGTCGCAGGATAGCTCACGCTCGCACTGATTTGGTTCCTAGTTTCTAGGGAAGCTTATCTGTTTAGAGGTGAGCGTGAGGTCGCAACTTCAAACCCAGGCTTCTTGGCAAGACTGCTGAGTATGTATCGGATAGACGCTTGGACGGTATTTAGAGCGTTAAGTCTTGATTATTAATAAAGAACGTTTAAATGTCAGGAAAAAAACATCTGAAGATCTAAAGGAAAAAAGAACAACGAGATTACAAAAAAAAACACACTTTAGTTTCAATTAGCAAGAGGAAGACATGTAATCTGCACAACGAGGTGGAGCGCGGGTGTTCACCGGTGAGAGTCCTTCGGAGGACACGCTCGGGCTTTTGAATGGTGCTCTTTGGCGAAGTGTTGGAAACGCCCAGTGTTCACCGGTGTGCATCATGTTATACAAAGAAGAAGTGAAACAGAACAGAAGACAACAAGAAGAATAGAAAGGTTTACAGATGAAAGAGGAGGTCTAAATAGTGCATCTCTACTCGTAACAAGGGCATTACTACTAGTAACAAGGAGCTACTAGTAGCAAGTGCATCGCTACTAGTAGCAAGAAGAGGTCTAAAGGCCTAAAGAAAAAGAGTTGGTACTGACCTGGGTGGCACAGGACTTTGTGAAGCGGCGGCGCCTGACCGTGCCACGCAGTCAGCAGAAGGCTCTGAATGCGCAAGCAGTTTGGAAGAGGTTCACTTGGCAAAGGAGAACCTAGTGAGCGATGGCCTCCAACCTAGCAATGGCCAGGACAAAGAACACTTCCAGGTTACACACCAAGATGTGTGAAATGTTGCAGTGCATGAAGCATGGGAGGTTTTGAAGTACGTTCTTGGTGAGAAGGAGGCAAGTCATATTCGTTCTTGGTGTTTTGTGGGCAGAAACAAGATCAGAGTTCTCTCTCGATACACCCATGCACCGAATTGAAGCACTTGAACCTAAGTCCTTGCTCCGTTTGTAGCGATGCCAAGAGCCCCTAGTAGCTTTTCGTTCCCAGTAGTAAATACATATAAATACATGTTGCCCAGAAAAGGAGATGAAACCTGACGCCGCTAAGATGCTAAGCAGTGCCGAGCTATTGAACAGCTACAGGCTACACTGCCAGAGCCACGACAGCATTTGTGCAAATAGCGTGCGTGCAAATGCGGGAGTGGCACAGGATGTACCCAGGTGGCTGGAAGGCTTGCTGCGGACCTGTAGTGTTGCATGAAGAAAGGTATAACTCGAAATCTCAACAGCACCATGACAGGATTAAACAAAGCACCTATCTTCATTCAAAGTTTAGCCTGCCTTAATTTACTGGAAATGACATCGAGACAATGCGATTTATAGTGGATGAATTCACCGGAAAAGAAAAGAAACGAGGTCAACAGATGAGGAGATGGAAGGCTTTGTTTAATCAGGGGTGGCATCCACACTGACATGGGGCGACCAGGCCTCGTGAGGGGTGCTCAAATCACTACAACTGGCTTAATCATTTTGACTCAGATCTGCTGAAAGAAGACAGAACAAGAAAGAGAAACAGGAAGAGGGAATGGAGGAAGGACAGGAAGAGAAAGAGGAACAAAGAGGAACAGGCCAAAGAAAGGAAAGGAAAGGGCAGGGGGAGAAGAGAAAAGCCAGACTGCAACAAACAAACAAAGAAACACACAAACAAACAAAGGGGGGTGGTCTGATAGGGGGGATTAGAGTAAAAGTGGTCTATTCGGGGTTGGCAGAGGTTCATGCCGTAGCTGCTTGCTTGAGTGGCGACCTGAAGAGAGCTGTTCACTGCTTTCTTCTCTCTACGGCTTATTTTTTTGCTTCAATGGTTCTTCACATGTTTATGGCCTTTGTTTTTGCATGCTTTTATACTTGCTTCAGCTTTTCATGTTCGTTTTGCCTTTTTCTAGCTGTTTTTGTTTGCACTCTTTGCCGCTTGCTTGGCGCTCTCTTTGTTGTTATTCGTCGACCAAGCAAACGAGACAAAGCTAAGGGTTCGAATACAAGATGAAAGAGCAGACTTATATTTCCACTCTTTTTGATGCTTAACATATCGCAATGGCCAACACGTCCTCGCTTTGTCTTGACTTAGATCCAGCACAAATCCGCACGTCATTTCGCCGCAAGGCAGCACATTTCGAGAGGAATTGCCACAGATCATGGCAAACCTACACCAAGCACAGACACGGTGCACAAAAAAAAGGTCAAATTGGTCCAAAGAAAAGATGAGAAGAAAGGACACGAAAAAAGACAGATTCTTTAAGACTCAGAAGACAAATGCACTTTCACTGGCGCGTTTGCTTTCGGACTTGGTCACTTGGTGGTCTATATTTCTTGTGGAAACACGTTCAAGCTCTGACTGTGGACCGATATCCACAGGATCTGCTGGAGTGCATAGTCCATTGCTCAGTCAAAATTTAGCTTGAAGCAGCTTGAGTAGAATGAAGTTGAATTGGGCCATCGCTATTAGGAACAAGAAGCTACAAGGGGCTCCTGGCATCGCTACTAGGAGCAAGGACGCTACAAGAACCTTCTGGCCGTACTACTAGGAGAAAGAAGCTTCTAGGTTGGAGGCCATTGCTATTAGTAGTGTTTTCCTGTGTTTTGGTCGTTCAAGATGTAGTTGAGGTGAAGGAGCCACAGGCGCTCAAACTGAGGCTCTGTTAGGCTCTGTTAGCACCCACAGCAATCTCCCACAGAGCCTAAGAGAGCCTTTCCAAAAAGCATGGTTGCTAGGTATATGTTTTGTTTGACGAAACACTTGCAAATTCTTTAGGCCTTTTTTCTTTCGTGTACGACGCAGGAAGACGGCGGCGAGATGCTCAAACATCGTTTGGCACCCAGAATTGTCATGAGTTAGAATTGCTCAGCCTTCGCTTTCTGCCCAGGTTGGTGGCGAGTGCTGAAAGATGGAGGCACTAGTGCAATCATGGACTTGGATTTGAAGGAGGCAGAAGCCCGGGAGCTTTCTCAAGTGTTCTAGGCTATCCGCCAGGCTTTGTTGACAGAGTTTGCCGCCTAGTTCGATATTGCCACTGAATCAGTCTTAGATGGTTTGGTTTTTGCCTTCTGCCTTTGGCTTGACTGACCCTTTTTAGTGCTTGTATTTTTGCAGGTAGGTTGGAGGCCATCGCTATTAGTGTTTTCCAGTGTTTTGGTCGTTTTACCTGAAGAAGGCATGACCTTCATAACAGGTGCACCGGACCGGATGTGTTATTTTCGTTTTCTCCATGTGTGCCTCCTTCAAGCAGAACATTTGTCACGGTTTTTACGATGTCAAGGAGATGAAAGTCTCTGCAAGATGGACCATGAGTTATTCTATGAAAGCAACAAATGCAAACAAAAGAGCACAGAGTAAACAAGAAGAGCAAAACACACACATATATATATATTATATAGATACACATTATATTGTGGTCATTTTCTAAGAAATCAATATGTTTTGCTTATGTTTCTTATTCATTGGGGCCTTGCAGGGCTATGGTAGATCCAATTTGTGTGCAGGACCAGCTGAAGGAATTTGGACCTGAAATGGAGGATCCGCAAACGAATTCAGAGCACAGAAGCAATATAGTTCGCATTGGTGGCTAAAGGTCTAAATCGGAAAATTCAGGAAACGAGACAAGACATGAAAAGGAAAGGCCTAAACAACAAAGGACAGCAATGAATCAATTTATGAGTTCGGATGTTGAAGCCGGTAGTGACATGTAGTGGCTTCCGGGCTGAAGCGTCAGGCTATCCTTCAAAGCTTTCGCCTGGGCAACTGACTTTTGATTCGGCTGCACCAAGCATTAAAGAATCGCATGCGACATGCGCAAAGATCACCGTATAGCTGACCAAAGCTGACAAAGAGGCGAACATTCAAGACCGATTGCAAAGGATCTGTACATGATTCACATGATTCTCCCGCTGTGATTAGAAATTTTCTCCGGATATTGGAGGCTATGAGGCTGGTTAGATCTCCCAAAGAGCAGAGATTTCCCAGATGAAGATCGGATGCCAGGTGATTTGGGGTGGCCAGGGCACTTTGATGCGGACGGACGAGGCGGACTTCATGCGAAGGTGGACGCCAGTCGTTCGGCAGCTGGCTGGGCCCAGCAGGACACTGAAAGGGGGGGGGCAGCAGAATCTGGGAATGAATGAAGTTGTTTACACATTGTGTCATTGTGTTAAATGCTATTAGGTTGGAGGCCATCGCTAGCAGGTGAATGCATGAATGCATGAATGAATGAATGAATGTGTTTAACATGCAAAGAAACATAAGAATACATACCATCATCATAAGGGCCTCTATTGAAGAGGCCCTTACTGTCTTTTTCTTCTGCTTTTTTTGAAGAATATGTTTGTCCAATGGTTCATTTGCAAGTTGTGTCTCAAATGTCCAAAAAGAGTCTAGGAAGCAAGTCAACCATGCGACATGTCCAGTCCTGGGCGGTAACAAATGCAGCTGGGCAGGATGTCAGGCAGCAAGAATCTTTGAGCTGCTCGAATTGTCTGAGCTGAAAAAGGGGCGACAAGGAAGATACAGGTCGAGTCATATCTTGTGATCAGGTTTGCAGTTTGGTCCACTCTTGGCGGAAGAGCGGTAACATATTGTTTTTTTGGCCTCCAACCTACTAGCGTCCTTGCTCCTAACAGTAAGGCCAGGAGCCCCTAGTAGCGTACGATCGCTCCGTTCGTATCAATGATTGCCATGTGCCGATGTCTTGGGCTGGAGCCGAGAGATCGACTTGAGCTAGAAAGGGCACAACTTCAGAGAAGCACGGTCGCTTCAGGCATGAAGAAAGAGAGTTCACGTGGAATTGCATGCTTTTTGGGATGCCGGTCCATCTTTGGATTGAGATTCTGTTCACAGCAACTGTCACTTCAAATATACGGTCTTTTCCACAGTTTTGTGTATCATAGTAGCATAGACAAGCCATGAACGACTTGGGAAATGAAGGCATTGCAGCGGAGGCAACTTTTTTTTGTTCTCTTGGGAACTTGTTTTGCTTTAATGCGTCATTAAAGCTGCTTACCTTTGTTACTTAGGCCTTTTTTTCCTCTTGTAGAGGTCGATAGTGGTTGTTTGATTCTGGAGTTCAGACGACAATTAAACGAAAGGCATGTGCCATGTGTGCCATTGAGGCCATTGAGAACGCTCCGCTAAAGAATGGCAACGAGTATTCCGAAATATGCCATGTTGATGTCGGCTTCCCAGACAAATGCATATAGGTTGGAGTCTATCACTATTGGGATGGAGGCCACTGCTAGTAGGTTGGAGAAAAGGGGCCATCGCTGTTATTATAAATCAGAGATGGGCCGCGTTTGTGAGCCGACGTCACTCCGACAGGAGTGTTCAGTGAGTCCGACTTTGACTCCCAGTGAGGAGGCTGCTCAAAAGTACGTTTGGACAAGAGTGGGCGGAGGAAATTCTTGCAACAAAATTGCAGGAGGCAACACATGTGCGAGACAACGGATTGTTTAACCAAAGTAGTACAGTTTTATGTTCAAGCTTCTGCCAGGAAACAATGTGTTGAAGTATGAGAAAGACAATCACCCCTGCCTCACAGTTCATAGAAATTCATTGCTTGCCTGACGTGCTTCAATACCTGACTAGGAAAATAAAGAAAGCCGTGACACATTGTGATGATATAATCTTGCACACATGATGTTTTCGACTATTGCACCGATTGCTGACAGACCCCCATTCTTTCGATTAAGCTAATAGTAATGGTTCATTCTTGTTGTGTGACCACGTGAACCTTGCACTCCAGAGCTCTTGTTGTCCATTACTAGTAGCTAGAAGCTAGTAACGAGGTTGAGCACTGTTATGACGACTTGCATCCGCGAACGTGCCCGAGATGGTCAGTGCTTTTCTGACTTGGGAGCTGGTAGGGCTCGTCTTGGTACCTCTTCGGACATTCCGCCTTTCGTCTCCACACCTCGGCGTCGAGTTGCTACAAGTCCTTTAAGGACTTCTTGTTACTAGTAGAAAGAATGCTCCTAGTAGCGATGCCAGGAGCCCCTAGTAGCGTCCTTGTTCCTAGTAGCGATGCTCTTTGCTCCTAGTAGCGTCTTTGTTCCAAGTAGCAAGGCCAGGAGCCCCTAGTAGCGTCCGATCGCTCCTAGTAGCGATGCCCTTTGTTACTAGTAGCGTCCTCCAGGAATCTACAGGATGAATGTCACATTGAAGGACAAGATATGTGACATACTGACCAAGTACTGCGGAACGGAGCAAGGAGAACCAAATGCTTCTTGACATATAAAGAAAGATGTTATTAGGTTGGAGGCCATCGCTATTAGGTTGGTTTGATTGCATTGTTGCCTTCCTGTGCATGTTTACTTGTAGAAAATGCACGTCTGAGAGATTTCTGCCCGATGTGAAGCTGTTTTGTGGTGCAGGCACGGACGCAAGTCAACGGTTCAGAAAGGTCCGCCTTTGGTTCGAGGTGTTGCGATCGCTCGTAGGTTGGAGGCCATCGCTAGTAGGTTGGAGACTGTGCAAAAAGTGCACTGTGTTGGTTTGCAAAGCACATGTCAAACAGGCCTCCTGAGTGCAGGTTGGGAGCCTTCAGCTCGTTGAAGCTTCAAACGTCACTTTTCAGTGTCACGTCGCGGTCGCGTCACTCGCGTCGTGTGAGGCGGTATACAAGAGAGCAATTGATGGCGCTGAAGTCCATTGCACTTTCCAATGCCCAAAGCAAAGGGAATGCCGCAGTGGCCATTGCAATCACGCAGTGGCCACGCTCTAAGGTGAAGCCGCCAAATTTATGCGAAATAATTGACCAGGCTTGGGAGATTCTTAAGAACGTGGTAAAACATTTGTTTCATATGCATCCGTCACATGTCACATCGTTGGAATGTGGTGAGAATTGTGTCAACTTGTCAAGGACAAACCCAATAGTACGCTGCGTACAAAGGCTGAAAAGGACGAGCGACGATCGTCCGATTCGGGTCGTGGCCGTTTGCGTTTGACGACGGAGCGATCGGACGCTACGAACGGGGCTCCTGGCATCGCTACTAGGAGCAAGGTTGCTACTAGAAGGTGGCTGTCTCACTGACCCTGCCGTTTTGCTGAGCTGAACGCAGCTTTCACACAGTTGGTTGAAGCTCTTCAAGCGGCATTGCCACGGCATCGCCCAACACGAGGATGAGGAAGAAAGAAAACCGCGACACCGCAACAAAGCAGACAGAGACAGAGATAGGGGCGACAGAGATCGAGGCAGGATTGCCATGGTTTGCCTCATTGTAAATGGTTTGTGACATGTTTCATTTGGAATAACTTCGAACAAGCCCAACGGGGCCCAACATGTCGTATGTGTATTGCTTTGTCGAAAAAAGCTCATAAGATGCAGGCACTAAGTCACTGCTGTTGGGTCGGGGATGGCAAGGCCGGAAACATGATGATGAACAGCGTCACCAGCGCCATGAGGAGGAGAGAATCTATACGATGTTTGATGCGAGTGGCTGAAATCGGCTGAAATTGTACGTGGATCGTGAGAAATCATTAGGAACTTGATTCTTGATGTTTGGGGTCCCACATGCTGAGGTTCATCCAGATTCCGACCTATGCATTGAAGTTTAGATGAGCAATTTCCAGAATCATGTATACAGAGTCACATGCGTTTACGAACGGAACACGTGTATATACGGAGAATGTGAAAATTGCCGTATGTTGCACGGGGTTCGTTTGACAGCAATTGGAGGTTCAGCAAAATACTGTTCACGTGCAATCAAAGAAAACAAGCCACATTTCAATTGCGGTGCAAGGCGTAGATATTTCAGAAAAGTGCAGCAGAGAGAGGAAAGGGTAGCGATGGCCTCCAGCCTACTAGCGATGGCCTCCATCCTCCAACCTAGTAGCAGGAAATTGTATAGAGTTGAGTTTGGTAAAGTACAGTACAACTAAGTAAAAGACGCTCAAGCCAGGGGGTCTTTTCAGCCTAGCTTTCGCCGCCTTTCGCGGCTCAGAAAGTTAGATTAGAAGTGGACTCTTCTAATCATAACGGGCCGCATCACAACCACACCACACCTTGTTTGTCGGTTTGTCAGCTTTTGGACAGACCGAAATACTTCTTTTTCCTGCATTCTGTTCTGTATAGGTAGTGGGACATACTAGTAACAAGGACGCTACTAGGGGCTCCTGGCACCGCTACTAGGAACAAGAACCTACTAGTAGCTCCTGGCCATACTACTAGTAACAAGAAGCTACTAGTAACATACCAGTACGTTCTCTTTCAGATTTGTTCTGCATCGCTGACTGGTATCGAGGACTGGGGTGGTTCAGATCCTTGGCGGGACTATGAGAAGAACAACCAAAATACAAGGCTGCCTGAGATGCATCATTTGCTAGGAGCAAAGGACGCTACTAATAGCTTCTTGTTACTACTAGTAAGGCACTTGTTACTAGAAGCGATGCACTTGTTCCTAGTAGCTTCTTGTTCCTAACATCCAAGTTTTTGGCACTTGTTAGATTCCTTTTTGTTGCGC